ATCATGTACTATCAAATCAGTGTGGAGCAAGTCAAATTATGCGTGGTTGTGACGGTCCAGCATGGGATATTGTTATTAGAAGAACTAAACATGGAAATATGATTACTAGAATGTATATAGAAGGAAGCTGGAAAGAATTCATCTCAGGTAAAAATATTGAGGTTGGAGATACCTTGATAATGTACTATAAAGGTCGACGTACATTTCATACTCAAATTTTCTCATATCATGGTCATGATAAAACTCTGTTAGGTACTCCAGTAACACAGACAAGAGTTATTCGTAGAAGATTGCCATTAAATGTTGTAGAAATGGACAATCATCTTATGCTATTGCAACAACAACATCCGGAGCCATCATTTACATATGTCTTTAATGCTCAGTGTATTCACCAAGGAGTTATAGTAAGTTTTTGAATTAGAAGCCTTTATGTATATGTATATTTGTTATGGCCTGGTGTAAATAAGGCTCTAGGTGAATGGCTAACCAAGTGTTTTGGGTTTTATGTCCCCCCCCCCCAATAGGTTGTTCCCATATAATTTGCCACATTGCATTTTTGGACTGCAGACTCATGCACATCTGTTCTCCTACGTCACAGGAGGGATCAATGGTGTGCTGAGTTACAAGTGGTCCGAGAAGAAGGAATGATCACATCATGCACGTTATGCAATGGCGTAACCTTGTTTTATGAACATGCAAGTGTTGTCGTTGGGTTAGGTGCTTTGGTTATTTATAAAATAGGATATCCTCTATTATTTGAAGTAGTGCTTGGACCAGGATAGGTTCATTTCCCATGGATCTGCTTCATATTATCCTGGCCTTTGTTTGCAAGTTTAATAATAACTATTAGTTTAAGTAATTGAGTGTCTGATAACAGAGATGTTATGTATCTATGGCAAGGAATGCAACTACATGTATTTAGTGTATGGTGTTCCTGGTTAATAAGCATGTCCTTATTGTATTCATGTACAAGGACTAATTTGCAATGTTAACATCTTTGCATCAAACAATGGAATAAAGTAATATTTGATTATATAGAATATTTTGAGTTTTTAAAGCGCTTATATCAGTAATTCAAAAGGCATATACTTAACAAACATGAAAACTGCCCTTTCACATATGTTACATGTACAAGCGACTCTTACATTTGTAACCATTTTATCATAATAATTAAAGTTGCATGAAAGAGCACATAGGTTTTTGCTAAATTTGTTTAACACGGTCTCAATTTATGTTAAAATGGATATGTGATATAATAGCAAAACTATATGGTGGTGTAATTGGGAAAACCCTATACAAAATTCCTAATTGCATCTGATACTTTGAGTAGCATTGTTATTACCTAAATAAGTGAGCATTTACATTGTGACCTGTTGAATGTTAACCAATTCCAAAAGGAAAATTAAAGTATGTTGTGTTCACATATCAGAACTTAGATTTCCAAAGACAATTCTCAATAATCAAGCCACATACACTGATCATAGTCCTTAATTCCTGTAAGCACTTGCATTTACAGTGAATTCTCATATAAGTTACATGTGCATCAATCACCTAATTTAAATGCATGTAAGTTATAATCAGCATGGATATTTGACCAGTTGTATCTAAAATTAATACAGCCTTAATAGACTGTGTTAAATGTGGTCAAAGTTTATCAATGTAAACTTTTATTATAGTAACTGTCACTGAGATTCCCTCTGTACACATTTGATTCACGGATTTACTATATAAGCAGAACTGTATGTTGATGTGCAACAGTTTGCTACACATTTTGCTATGAATAAACACCTAAAGGTAAATGTTCTGACAATATATCTTCATGCGTTCTTCTGCTATAACTATTGCTTTAATAAAATCATTGCATTATGTGCTCTTCTTTTTTCATTGCATTTAGTTGTTGGCTTGTATACTTCTGTACAAGTACTAACCTACACAAACAATTACTTGAAATAGAATTCAATTGTAAATGATTAGATTTCGTGTCCTTAACATTTTCACTTACATAATCATATTGATTGACATATATGTGTATCTTATTTACGATTTCATGCTTTGATTACAGAAATTATGATTCTATACAATAATTTGCCAAGCTATCTGTTGTTTTTTCAAGATGAATATCGACAGGAGTTGGTATGCAAGGACTATTAAGAAACCCTACATTATGGCTGTTCTTCTTTATATGTTTTGGATGATTTCCTTTTGTGTTACATATGTTTGTTCTGATTTATCGAATCATTACTGATATGTTTCATGTTTTTTATAGGAGTTACCAGACAACTGGACTGCTATGTTAGCCAATGTTCGCAGTCTAGTAAAAGTTATTCGTGGGAGTAATAGTCGGATATGGAATGTTCGGTTGCTTAAAGTGACAGAGCAAGCAAGGGAATACATGTCCTTAGATTTCGGGTGGGAAGCATTTATAACTAACAATCAAATCCGTGAAGGTGAAATTCTTATAGTTTATTATGCTGGGAACAAGACTTTTTATGTAAGGATATTTTCATCTGCAATGGTAGAAAGGTTCAGTTCTATTGAGCCTCTTTAGAGATCTGTGTCAAGTGGTGGAACTGGTGCATCTAGTGTTGGTTTTCTAGAGTACTTAGGAATTGGGGATAGGCTATGGTTCCCTTGGGTGTTTACTCCAAGATGTTTTGAAGAACATTCACTGGTTTGTATCGTATTCACTGTAATTAAGTTATTAATATAGTGCATCTAATACTGCAGAAGTAGTGTATTGAGCTCATTTGAAATTGCGTATATGCAGGAAATACCAGTAAGCTTTGGCAACCAGGTTTTTCCTCATGTCAACACGCAAGAAGAAATTCAGATGCGTTATGGTGACAAGACATGGGATGCTGTTGTTAAGATCTACTCCAAGGTCAATGGAAACATCCACAGTAGAATAAGCAGTGCAATTTCACAAGTACTTTCTAACAGGAAATTAGAATATGGAAAAATTGGGGTTGCTTTTCTGTGTAGAAATAATCCAATTGTGTTAGAAATAGCATTCCTTTGAACTTTGGAAATGAAGGCATGTATTATTGGCAAACTTTGGTGTGTGATTCACTTCAAATCCATGGAAACTGCTTTGTTCTATTCTTAAACTTTAGGAGTTATTGATAGTAGGATAAAGATCTTCTATGATATAATGGATTCAATAATATTAATGTTAAGTTTAATGAATCATGTATTATTTGCAGTTTCTTTCTCAATAATCCATTAGAATGGCTTCATTGTACTAAGCTATTGAATTTCTGTTTGGAACACAGAAAGCAAAAGCAATTACAAATAGTTCTGTAACTTAATTACACGGAAAGTTAATAGCCTCTATATTATCCTATCACAATTACAGACAATTCCATGGTTTAACTCTACTATAATCCAGAAATCAGTTATTGGTATATGGACAACCCAATACTGGAGAATCTGGAAGTGTTAGATATTGCTTACTTGCTTTCAACTATAGGGTAATACTTATTAAAGTATTACTGTATATTGATACTATTTTGTTTGGATTATTCAAAGGCATATAAAATCTTTCTGTAAATCAAAATAGCAATGATAATACTTCATTGTGGTGATTCTATGTAAAAATAACTGTAACAAATCCTGGTGTTACTTAGCTTACAATTATATACAACTAACACCATATCTTTACCTACATATAGATTCTATAAGGACCTTGAAATGACTTGACATTAGTATCTCGCAGTGTGAATAGTTTTAAGCGTGCATATTAGCTACCACCAACAGTCTACTGCTGTAATAAGATTCTGTTAGGAAAAGGAAATCAGTTATGCTTTATATAATGTTTGTAATATAAAAAGAAAAGGCAATAACTAAACACACTTCATAACAGCTTGCATCATTCAATAATATGTAGAAACAATTTTCAGGACACAAGCAATCCTTTTTTTTTTTTTTCACATGAGGTGAGAAATGGATTCAAATCTTCCAACATATATCACTCAATATCATAATTGTTACAGAACTGCTCTGGTATATTTCTAAACTCTTAAGATAATGTTTATATTTTAAGCCTAATTTTCATAATATGTATCCTCTAATCTGTATGTCACTGTACACATGTTAGCTTACATGTTGATTATCTATAAATGATCATGTTTTAGATATGCATGTGTATATATATATCTATGTATGTGATTCCCCCTTATGTAATCTATTTGTCTGTATATTTAGTAACATGAGAGTTAATGCATATATTTCTTTGTCCTTGTAGCCTCTGCCAAACAGTTGGAAATCTTTTCTGTCTAACTTCCAAGGTCTCGTATGTGTGCGGCGTTACACTGAAGGACCATTGTGGACTGTGGATTTGTTAGGTGCTGATATACCAGAAACACATGGTGTGTTCCTATATACTGGATGGGAGGGTTTTGTAATTGACAATGAAGTGATGCATGGTGATATTTTGAGTGTCCACTATGTTGGTCGTGGAACGTTCCATATCAAGGTCTTCACCATTGCAGATAACAATAATGGCATCTAGAAGTATACTTGAAGGACGTAGTATAAAGCATAACTGATGCACACATAATTCACCCAAAGTATTACTTCCCTTCAACTTATGCAGTGTATTATAACCCACCTAGCTTAGTTTGAGAGTCTTTATCACCATGTATTTCATTATGCTAGTGCTTCCTTTATACCCCTTTTGTTGTTGTTTCTGTTATGTTAAATCTACAGGTGTATGACTGTCGTATTGTAATAAATAAGCCTCGCCTATGCATCATACTGTCTGTACTGATTACCTTTGGAATTGTATTTGTTTTAAAATTAAAAGCAATGTATCTACAATGCAGAAAGTGTTTAAACAAAGATGTCATTCAAATTAATACTATGGTTCTGTTGGTCAGATGATAATCGCCATTTAAATACTGAAGCTGTTATTTAAGTGGTATACAATGACAATAAACATTCTAAAAATGTCTACCAAAAATAGGTTGTACAGAATATAGTGGCATACAAAACATGTTATTTCAGTACAGAGATTTAGTATAAACCTTAGTATACGATGATGTCATGCATGGATAATAATTCAATATTTCATATTTGCATCTTCTATTTCCTGTAAATATAAACAGGATGTTCATTAAGGGAAACATTGCTTAAATAATTATCCAAAGTGTCCATGAACAAAATGATTCATAGCTATATGTATACCTCTTCTAGGTCAAAACCCAAAAGTCTGCTTTTTAACACTGTCTCTTCAGGAATTATTGGTTATCTGGTTTGTCTGTATAGTTTTGCATAATACCTGCTAGTCTTGGAACTTCATAAGCCACTACATTCTTAACAGTGTGCGGCGGATACTGTTTAGGAGGTTTAGCATAAAAAACAGCAACATCTTTTGCTTTCTTAGCTTTGGACAAAGCAACATATAGCTGTCCATGAGAAAAACATGGCCGTGGAAGATGAATGGACACTTGATTTAGAGTTTGACCTTGAGATTTGTTGATTGTCATTGCGAAGCTTAATTTGATGGGGAATTGTTTCCTTTCAAACTGAAAAGGATAATTTAGAGATCCAGATGGGCGTAAATTAATCCTATGTATGAAGACATAATCTCCCTTGTACTGTCTAGTAGCTATCACACACTGAATGACATTTGGGAAGAAACATTTACATGTAAGACGTGTACCATAGCATGATGACAGAAGCAGATTATGTAACAAGATAACTGGACAATTTTCCTTGAGCACTAGCTCATGAGGGCTCATTCCACCTGGACACAAACTGTTCATAAACTTCGTAGGATATACATTGCATGAATCATTCAGCATCGTATCAAAACTCTTGTACTTAACAGATCTTCCCTGAAATTGTTCTATCATGAATGCATTAATAGAATCCACTTCATCATTTAACGGTGTCAGGATTGCTCGATTAATAAAGCTCTCAGCACACAGATTACCCTCCATCATTTCAGGGAATGTTACTCTTAGCAGATCAGAAGTTAAATCTTCTTCACTGTCACAAAACTATGTAATCTGAGTTGGCAAATGCACATAAGTAGATTCCAAATCTTGTAGCTCACCATTACCTAAGGCAAGTAAAAATTCAGAGTAGGGTAAATCCTCCCAAGCTCTTATATTTTCTATCAATCTAAACTTAATGAACTTAGACCATAAATATGAAGTAACAATACTGCTTTCAACTGCTTCTTTCATTGATCTGTGAGGAACAACTGGAAACACTTGCCTAAAATCACCTCCAAACACAAAAATTTTACCTCCAAACATAGTTTTATTGTCACATACATCTTGCAGTAGTAAATCCAAAGATTCAATATTATGTTTTTTAGCCATTAAAGCTTCATCCCAGATTATCAATGTAGTTTCCTTGAGCAATGCTTCCAAACTTCCTTATTTAGGAACATCACAAGCTAGAGAAGCTTCACTATCAAGTGGTATTTTAAACCTTGAATTGGTTGTGCAACCTGATGGTATATTTGCTGCAGCAATACCTGATGTTGTCGTGGGAAAAACTATCTTGTTCATGAGCCTGACCTCTGCATACAGAGCTTTATATAAAAATATTTTACCAGTTCCGCCCGGGCCATCTATAAAAAAAAAGCCCCTCCTTTGCCTTCCATGACATACTGCATAATACATGAGAATGCAGCATCCTGTTCAACGTTAAGTCTACAACGACATGAAAGGCGGTCTTCTGGGATAGGAGCATCAAGAGCATCCATAATGTCCTTTGTTCTTTTGAACTCAACATCAGACTGTGTGTATAGACGCTGTAAACCAAATGCTGCCAATGACTTCCCCATAGCTTCAAGGTATCTTTCAATAGAGCGAACAGTTAACTGCTGAATTTTAGGAGGATTGTTACTATATGTGTGGCTGTAATCTTCAGACAAAGAGGGATAAAACTTATGCCATAAAGAAATTGGATCATCTGTCTAACAGAAGATCACTATTGTTGCAAATAAGCGGCGTAAGGCATCAAGCATCTGAGCTTCTGAAGCTTCAGATAATGTTAAGTATGCAACATCGTCATTTTCAATTAAACCCAACTTCATGGTTGCATCATGAAAAGTTTGATATACATAGCCATTAACAGTTCGAAGGTCCTCAAATGAAGTTGGACTTCTGACATTAAGTAACAATAACCGTAAGAAAAAACGTTCCCCTTCTGCAGGATATACAAATGCCAGTCGGCCTACAGAAAATCTATCTATAACCCTTTTTTTCCACTGCTTACTACTTGCATCCCATCTATAATGCTCGCAAAATTCACCATACAGATGGCATGTTCACCTTCAGTAACTGCGTTGACTGCAAAGAATTCAGTCAATTGAGTGGAAGATCGTTTAGAATTAGCAATAACAACGCGTAATCTTTCATGAGGATGCAAGTGTACAGTCTATGCATTTGGCTAATGTACCTGTGGTGGAAAAACTGGAGGGTGCATTTTAAATAAATCAAAACTAAATATTCTCCAGGCAGCTTCACAAGGTGACACCCACCTACCTGATTGGAATTGCCTAATTTCATCAACAGAGGTGTCCTCACCAGGCACTATATTGAATGACACCCTATCATGACCCTATTACACGTATTTGTATGGATACTTAACTGCTTTATTCGTTGAGCAAACCTCAACATTTAAATGGCAGTCAAACAAGGATGACAGGTAAGGATTATATGGAATAACCCACTGATTGTCTAGATATACATTACGTATCTTTACCTGTTCTCCAGTTTCACGTCTTCTGTAGATAGGATAACCATCTTTGTTATTAGAAGTTTCATCAGAAAACTGTTTTGGATATTGATTCTTACAAGCCAATGTACCACCTCTATTACGCATACATGGACATTCTGGATTTAATATACCACAAGGACCATGCATCATATGTCCAAGCACGGTTCTACATAGGTTATTATTACTGACAGGCAGTATTTCAGCACACACAAACTTATCATATCAGCAGGACATTTCATTTTCCACTCTGATTTCAATATCACTAAGAAATGAGCATGTGGTAATCCTCTTTTTTGAAACTCAACTACATAAACCATTGCAGACACTTTGCCAAATACTTGCTTCTCCATTATCTCTTTCTTCAGAAGTAACAATTTGGCTCTGAAAATCCTGGCTACTAAAACAGGACATCCTGTGCTGTTTCACTAGGGGCTAACTTAGCTTTAATTTCAGGCCAGTTAGCATTGCAAGTGATAGTTACAAAGAAATCTGGTTTCCCATATCGCTGAACCAAAGCCATGGCATTAAGGTAGCACTTCTTCATATCTCGAGGTCCTCCATTAAATGTTGGGGGTAAGATTACCCTACGTCCTACATTACGAGCAACAGTTTCTCCATAGTCTAATGAATCTAGAATGCCCTGATATAATTCATCTCGTATGCTTTGTTGATTATTCCGAAAATAATCAAGGTGAATGTTTTCAATTTTGACATACATGTCAACTATATACTGTTGAAAACATCGGCCAGCTCGCAACAACATGTTTTCAGGTCGAATTTGCAACTTGTAAGCATAGTACTCTCTTGGAGAAATGAACTTATCTGCTCTTGTGTTTTTCTTTGATGCTCCTGCATAAACAAACCACTCACACCAGTTTATATCTTGTTAAGAAAACAAAATGCAATCATCCACCCAAATTTATACATGTTGACTTGTACAAAAAAGAAAAAGAACATATTTTTAAGGGTTAAAAAAAAACCATACTTTTAACCTCTTCATTGATCAAGTCTTCAGCAGTGTGCACAGCACAGGACATAATAGGATCTGGCAATGACACAGTTTGTTTTGCACCACCATGAGACTGTTTTTTCAACCCTTGAGTCCAACCACATTCCCCACGAGGGAATAATAAAGGGTATTGCAATGGATCATAACATCCATAGTTATGATATATCCTATGAGATTTTGCAGATTTTCCATATACTAAGATATGAGGACTTAAACTCTAACTGGATGATACATTATCTGGCCATATAACAGCAACATCATCCACGACAGGAGCATTGTAGACACGTTGATCTAGCACTGTACTTTAATTGAGAACAATTTTGGTGTCTATAGTTACCTGTCTTTCCTTCAGAGAACGAAAAAAAATTGCATATGGATTTTGCTGAGAAACACGCATCAATATATATCCTGCCTAACTTTTGGAAAACATCCAAGTCTATTTTTAGCCTCTTGCTGGCCATCATAAAAGTACAACTGCAAAAACTTTAGTGTTTTTATTAGGCAACAAATTAGGAACAAAATGATACATCTGCCCGTGCATTTTGAAATACATATATGCCTTTATATGTTCCTGCATCAATTTTGCCCCTATAGAACTAAAGGTAAATAAGTTATTATATAGCCTAGCATAAGTTTGGAAGTAAATTGCATCTTCATCTTTTGATGTAAACAATCGCTTAAGCTCTGGAGGATATTCATTTGTTGCAATTTTGATATCCCCATTACCACAGCAGAAATTCACAGTTTCAAATGCAAATTTTTTCGCAGCACATTTTGAACAGCATGTAGGGGACAGTAAATTCAGAGGTGCTATTGGAAGTGGCTGACCAGTCACAGCAGCAGGAACAACTGACATCAATAGGAATTACATAAACACAAATAAGAAACTACATCTCAGTATTACAGCAGTTTATAATACATGATTAAACGCAAAGTAGTCAATTCAAAACCTACAATGGGGCTTGGGTTTGAACTGAGTTTTACTTTTCTTCTGCACTGAGCTACTGCACAGAAAGAAGATAATATTACAATTGGCAGCACTTAAGCAGCATGTAATGCCAAATAACAAACCATGTAACTTTTCAGTAATAACTCAGCCACTTGATCAAGACTGCGTTTCTTTTTAGTTGCACGTGATCGCGGTAGTTTCGTAGGCCGGTGCTGATGACTGAATAAAATAGCAGTGTATCAACAACCAAGCACGTCAGGCATATGCCTTTAACGCATAGCAATGTATATTACCAGAATGTGCTACCATGTACCCTAAAGATTCCTGACTGGTGTTAGTTCCAGATATAGAAGGTACACAGCATGTCTGTGTCCTGCACACATCAATGGGTATGTTTACAGGGCTAATTAATTCAGTAAACGTAAAAAGCCCGTTTAAACAAATCAATGTACCTATGTGCCTACAACTCCGATGATCCATTCAAACACCGATTTCTCTTCGAAACTCGTGAAGCAGAACGCTGTCCATCCCGTTATTTACTTGTACTTAACCAAGAAAACATATTCAAATTGAATCTTAAACTACCTATACCCCAAGAATACCTAATAATAAACACATAAAAGGCAACAATACATAATAATATACCTCTGTATCGCTGTCTTTGACGCTTGTTCTGAAGCTCGATTAATCCTGTTACAACTTTTACGTGATAAACGCGGAATACCATAATGGCAGACTTTAAAGTTGTTTTTTTGGTTTGGGAAAAAAAAGAGAAACCAGTTACAAATGCATATACATAAGTACGCAAAATAGACATAATTGCAATGCACTATATAAAGCAAACCATTGTATCAACAGGGAATTTTAAATACCCATAAATAATGCCACCACCAAATGGAACTATCTTTAAGACGCAATCACAGGAACACTAATATCACGTACCACAATATATTTGCTTAAAATCTGTATTCAAAGAAGTAGATTTTTTATGAGTGTCATTTATGGCACACATAGGGTAGTCTTTTAGGATTATTTCTTTCCCTTTTTCATGCTTTCTTCTCTTATTTTTGGTCTTTTTTCCTTTAGTTTCTCTTTCTCCTCTTTTCTTTATGGTTCTCGTGTTTTTCTCGTGTTTTCCTTTTATTTGGCTCTTTTTCCCTTTTATTTCCTTTCTTTGTTTGCTTGTGTAGGTATTTGGAGAATCACCTTTGCAAAGGAATCAAGTTGGGACCTTAATGACCAAGTAA